GTATATAACCTTGCCAAAACGTGCCATTACGTGCTCAATAAAATGCCATATTTCATCAATATTCTCGTTTCAACATGAGTCAATACCTCAAAAACCTCATGTTATCAACAAGGTTGTCCTATAGTCAGTTATAGTGGCGCCATCTGCCCGAGGTGAAAGACACTATTCCTCCCTTCAGCCTCACCTCGTTGTGCTACAACGTCAGTCGAATTTTTTTACAAGAAAGCAAGCTCCTTGCTTCCTACCCCCCCCCCCCCCTTTTTTTCCCCTCTCCACATCGCTCAGAGTCCAGACCAACCGTCAAGGTCGCCATGTGGATTTCAAGCAGAGGGGGCGCGCGCTGAAGGATCTGAAAGAGATCCTAACCGGATGCTCCCTATCCCCATTGCGCGTCACTGCGCACGTGGCTCAGAAGAAATTGTAAGAGTTGAAGGTGGTTTGGAGACGCCCAAAACGTCAATTGTTTTACTTTTTTTTTCTAGAGCACTAACGCGCGCAGGCAAAATTTATTTTTCAGTTCTTTAATCCATACGTGACATGGAACAACTACTACAATTATTCGACCGAAGTCTATTAAGCTGAAACGAAGTATACATTAACTCAACTTGCTCACGTCATGCCGAAGCGGTGGCGCTGCATGTTAGACTGCGCCCACGCTGGTGTCTCTTTCTTGCTAAAACTGGTTTATCGCTTAGTGTTTGAACAGCGCAAAGACGACAGGAAGATAGAAGAGAAGAGGACAGGACGAGCGCTGCCCTCTTCTCTTCTATCTTCCTGTCGTCTTTGCGCTGTTCAAACACTAAGTATGAACCAACTAGCCCACCGCAGTACCTTGTTGGTTTATCGCGCATGCGCAATGCCCACAGCTCCTGTAGGCGAACGAGCTTGTTTACAAAGAATGAGTTTCTTATATGGAAAGACCTTTGAGCAAAAATAATTTGCTTCCTTCTTATGGGCTTTACCTGGGATACTTTGCTCTTCGTCGAGAAACATTCAGTTAGACTGACGCTTGCACCAAAAACACTAGACTTATAAAACAAAAATGTCCATGTAGGAGTAACTCTAAATGTCAAATTTTCTACTCGTAGGGGGACTGGGTGAACAAAAATCCAGCACATAGCCTCTCAATCGTACCATCAGATGTCTCTGCCGCCTTGGACGATGATTGTCCGACGGAGATGCCTGGGAAGTCGTACGGGTGGACGGCTCCGATCCATCACGATCACTTGCAGTTGGTACTGATTCTAGCGTCACCTCACGACTATCTCCAGAGCCCTCTGTTAAATTACGAGGCACTGGGGGTTCGTGAAGTGCAGCAACTCCTGGCCCCACGGAGTTCAGGGACTCCGTCGAGGTCGTTGTCGTTGCAGAACTGGAGGATGGGAGCTCGCTCCAATAGCCGAGCCCAAGCTGAGATGTACTTGAGGCGGTGCTTATATAGCATAGCACTGCTTGAAGGAACTGGAGACTCAGAACCCTCCTCGACACCGACCTGGGAGGCTGGAACGGCAGGCAGGACAGGAGCCGACACGGCGCGGAAGGCCACTGAGTCGGAAGCAGGAACGGCACCGGGGACTGGAGTGGCGGGAATGCCACCGAGAACCCCAGCGTCTTGAACGGTACAGCTTACCGCAGGGGCAGGAACGGCACCGGTGACCATAGGGATGGTACTGGGTACAGCAGGAACGGGAAGGGCACCGGGTACCACAGGGATGGTACTGGGTACAGCAGGAACGGGAAGGGCACCGGGTACCGCCGGGACATGGACAGCACCAGGTACCACAGGAACATGGTCTGCAGGAACCGCATGACGATGACGACGCCTGGCACCACAGGAACTTGGGCGGCTCCAAGGGCCGCAGGATGGTGGACGACGCCATGCACCACAGGAACATGGCCAGGACCGGGGGCCGCAGTAACGTTGGCGGCACCGTGAGCCACCGCGGGGTGGACATCTTTGGCCGTCAGGACAGTAACGGCATCAGGGGCCGCAAGTACAGGAACGGCAGCAGGGGCCGCAAGAGCAGGAACGGCAGCAGGGGTTGCAGCATGCTGAGCTGTAGGTGTGGGAGCCTCAGGTGGCACGTGGCCCAGATTTATAGCTGGAGCCGCATTGGACGGTGTTGGAAAAATATCCTCATCCATAAGTCACAAAGGCTGATGTTGTGGAGGTTTCAATGTTGTATGTGTCATCTTGGCTGCGTTCCAGGATGGTTCCGTCATCTAATTTATATGTGGCTAGTTCTACGTGTTCATTTATGCGTTGCGGTGGAGCCATACTTGTTGCGCATTCTTCCTGTAATGTTGGGTTGGAACACCTTTACTGATTGCCAGGAGCCAAAGCATTGTGCTTAACTGCTCGCCTGGTATCTGAATACTTTTTCATCTTTGTTTTATACTCTTTGACTCTATCAGAAAGTTTTTCCTGAATGACATGTGAAGAGACGGCGGACTCTGGGGTCCCTCACCCTTGGAGATGCAGTCGCGTCCGGTGAGTGCGACCAAGTAGAAGAAATGCTGGTGTTTCTCCTGTCGCTGCATGGCGAGTACTTCGGTAAACACCGAGATATTCCGTAATGGCTTCAGAAAGCGGACGATGTTGGACGAGAGCCAACGGAATGGCAGACTTAAGGACACGATTGAATCGCTCTACCTGCCATTAGCTTGGGGATGGTAGAGAGATGACTTTGCTTGTTTGACGCCATGCGTCTTCAAGAAATCGCTGAACTCCTTTGAAATAAATTGTGGACCATTGTCTGTCGTGATCCCTTGCGGAAAACCCTCGCGGGCAAAGACAGACTTCCAAAACTTTATGACTGTAGCAGTCGGGGCGTTGTGGGCTGGTGCCACTTCATGCCACTTGCTGTGGTAATCTACCAATGTGATAAAGAGCAGGAGCCGGTTCGAGCGGTCCAACAATGTCCATACCAAGTTTTACCCATGGACGAGTGGGAAATTCAACTGGTTGAAGAGGGGTGGGGGGTGCCTTTGCATGCTTATCTGTGAACTGACATACTCTACAGTTTTGAACATTGATCCTGACATGCTGATTTAGATACGGCCACCAGTAAAGTTCCTTGATGGTGCTGGTGGTGCGCGAAACACCTTGGTGTGTTTCATGTGCTACATCAATGGCCTGATCACGGAGAGTGGACGGGACCGCTATCTTCTCTCCCTGGAACAACAATGCATCTGTGATTGACAGCTGGTCTCTTAGAACGAAATATGGCTTGAACTCAGAAGGCCACTTGTCCTCTGAAGGCCATGTGTTGGGAAAATATGTCATGAGAATTGGTAATACCGGATCTTTTGCAGTTTCTTCCTTGTATACTTTCTCTGTAAGGCATGCACGGACAATTGAAACCACTTCCTCCTCAAAAGCCATACCTTCTTCCGTATCTGGGACCGGAAGGCGAGACAGAGCGTCGGCAACTACATTGTCGTTTCCTTTGCGATACTTCATGGTGAAATTGTAATTAAAGAGTCTAGCCGTCCAGCGACTGATGCGTCGTGGACGGACACCTGTCCCTTGAGTGGACATTACTGTGGCAAGAACCTGGTGATCGGTGTGAATATTGAAGTGTCGACCCCAGAGATATACATGCCACTTCTCGCAAGCCCATAGGATTGCGAGAGCTTCCTTTTCTTCTGCGGAGTACTTTCGTTCTGCTTCAGTAAGTGTGCGCTAAGCGAAGGCAACAGTCTTTAGCTGCTTTCCATGCTGTTGCTGGAGAACAGCTCTTATCCCGTAGTTGGATGCGTCGGTCGAGACGACAACTGGAAGAGTGGGGTCGAACATAGCGAGAATGGGTGCCTGTCGAAGACAGGACTTTACACTTCGAAAACTGGCCTCCATGTCAGATGACCAGACAAAAGATGCTCCTTTACGTAGAAGCCTACGAAGGGGTTCTACGAGGGTAGCACAGTGCGGGACAAACTTACAGCAATATTCGACTAGACCTAGGAAGGCCTTCAACTGAGAAGGTTCCGATGGAACTGGAAAATTCAGGACCGCGTCTATCTTCGACAGAAGGGGTGCTAAGCCCTCAGCAGACAGACGATGGCAAAGAAAAGAAAGTTTGGACACATTGAAAACTGCTTTCTTGTTGAGTTTCACGGCGGCCTCTTTGATACATCTGAGGACTTGACGGAGATTGTCATCATGCTCTTTCTGAGACGACCCATAGACGATTACATCGTCCAGATAGAACTGGATCCCTGGACAGTGTTTCAAGATTTTGGACAAGACCTGTATGAAGGCCGCTGGCGCGGATTCCAAACCGAAACAAACTCGTTTAAAACGAAAAAAGCCCTTCATGGGTGATAAAACGCGGTTAAATCACGGCTCTTTGGGTCGAGACGGACCTGGTGATACGCGGACTCAAGGGCCAACTTTAAAAAAATGAGATGCTCCACTGAGGGCGTTCAGGAGCTCGTCGATATGGGGGAGCGGAAAAGAGTATTACGACTGCCTGGTTCGGCGCCCTCAGATCGACACACAAACGAATTCCACCGTCTCTCTTTTTGACTACTATGGTGGAGGATACCCATTCTGATGCGTTTACGCGCTCGATAACGCCTTGGCGCTCGAGCTTCTGGATTTCTGCACTAACGTCATCACGCAAAGTGATCAGTAACTGGCGAAGTTTGGCCTGCACCGGCGGAACTTGGTGCCGGACAGTGACAGTGTGGGTTTGATTTTGACTAACCCTAATTTGGGTGAAAAAATGTTTTCGAATTCTTCAAAGCCAAAAGGAAGTTTAGAAACATCTCTCACCGGCATTGAATGTGGACTCCGTTGCGACGCACACGAATCGCTTGAAGGTTGGTCTCCGAAGACGCCTTTACTTGAGTAATATGAGGATGAAGTGGACGGCTGATCGCCGAGAACAGGTGACGATGTTGGGGTGTGCTTGCGGGGAGCACTTGAAGGACTCAACGGACTGGGCTCCGCCGCACACAGGGATCGCTGGACTCTGGCCGACTTTACATGGCTCGGGATGGCTGCGCAAGAGTCCGCTGAATTCACATGGAAACATTTGAGTGGAGCACCCGACAAATTGAGACTAAGTCCGTGCACGGCATCTGTCCCCGGCATCTGCCCCCAGCAGGGAATGGCCATTTCGAACAACGTAGAAAAGTATCTCGGCGGATCGCTCTTTGAAGCCGACTTTGGTCTGAAAACATCCGATGACTCGAATAAAACCCCTGAAGTAATGCACAAAACTGCGCGGCGGTTTCTTTAGCCGGATCTGCTGCTTGGGGTTGATCTTGTTAAACGTGTTTTCCGGCATGCTTTCACCCTAAATGAAAACGAAGGCAGTTTCCTGAGTTATGGGAAAAAGACGCTTCCGTGCTGTGCGCACTACGTGCGTAAAAGGAAAAGAACCATTCGAACGCGTTACGCGTAACCTATACTGACGATCGAAATGGAACATTGACGGACGAAATGGAACGAGTGTCGCTATGCGTCGACAGTATTTTCATGTATTACATTTCATACGGAAAAGATGTGGTGAATGCAAATATTCGAGAGGACCTCACATTTCGAACGCTACAATATTAGAGAGTTTTAGTAGATCGTTCCGATACCTCCGATAGCCCCGATAACGATACTATGCATGCGCAATGGAGGCGGTGGCGGAGTATCGGGTATCGTTATCGGAGTCATTAGAACGATCTACTAAAACTCTCTATTAGCTAACACCAAAAAGAAAACTATACTTGCCGGTGTTGCCACCACTCATTTCCGGCACGGAGTTTGATCAAATGCTCACGAGAGGCGAAAATGGCAAAATGAATAAAAAGACGTCGTCGCCAAAATGTAATGGTCGCAGAGAGCCACTATGAAAGGGGGGAGAGAGACATGAAAGGCTGCGATAAAGACAGCGCCTCGGAAGGCCTGTAAAGATATTGGAAGGCTTACATTGCGTGGCGCGTGGGACGCGAGATGGTCGGTGGCCAGGGACCAAGCCGGCCGGTAAAGGAAGACACGTCACGCCAGCTCGGAGTTTCGATCAAGACTCGTTCTATTTACGATATGTAAGTACATCAACCTAGAGACAGCGCGTTCCACTGTCAAGCACGTGGCGCCATCTCATTAGAGAGTTTTAGTAGATCGTTCCCATGACTCCGATAACGATACCCGATACTCCGCCACCGCTTCCCTTGTGCATGTATAGTATCGTTATCGGGGCTATCGGAGGTATCGGAACGATCTACTAAAACTCTCTAATGTAACAACACACTACCAGAGCCTGCACACTATCAGAGCCGTGTATGCACACCATAAACTTTTGGCGTCATCTAGATGACTGATGGCACACTACACACCCTCGTTAGAGTTGCGCATGAGCACAGTGATCTTACAACAGCCCAGGGTAAAAAAACAACCGGAAGCTCGTGCTGTTACTTTGAGGCATGCTCTGCAACGCGCATCACGCGCAATACATCGTGGCCGCGGTAACCAGCGGCAGGGGCCCATAAATACAGTTTAACTTGCGAGCGTCTGAGTGTGTATGATTGCGTTGCGGCTGCGCAAAACCAGGGCATCCCTGCTTCGTACGTCACGTGCCGCGCTACTCTTTAAATTGAATTCCACGCTGCATACAAAGCATAGATGTGCCGGTGACTCGTTTCCGTTTCTCGACGCAGTGCAATCAAACGCACTAAAACGCAACTGTTGTGTATGGGAATTTAAACAACCTATTATGCGTGGCATTCATTCTTACTGTTCGTCAAATTCGGGTTTCAGCAGCACTTGCAAAAATCAATCTTTTCCCCGTGTCAGCAAGGAACACGACCGCTTTCACTGATGTAAAGCATAAAACAAAAATATTCGTTTGTAGGTAGGTATGTATTTATTTTTTCTCGTAAGCGCAGGCTCCACAGAGAGGCATGTAGCCCGTACAATAAATGTCTTTGAAGCCCGTCTAGGCGGTGATAATGATAATGCTGTGCGATATAATGTGCGGCACTGATAATGTAGTTTGAGGCATCACGAAGGAAGGGTCTAAGTTGATCGCAGGTGTGTGGCAGCTTCGCGACAAAGTTGCAGAACCTCGGGTCGGTCATTAATTCTTTTTTGCAACGTTCAAAAAGTGCAGACCAACGAAGCCATCAATTGTACTTCTGTTGTGTCTATGTTTAGACAGCGGGAAGTTAGTCAGCCCCGAGGTCGTCTGGTCTTTTTGTTGGAGATGAAAGCCAGTGCAGTATATCGCTGCTAGTCTGACGTCTTTAACATGTATCACGCTATAGTGATACGTGGCCGTACGCCGGTACGATACTTATCGAGATTGAAAGGGAAAAAGGCGAGGGTTTGAATCCACGATCAGTGAGCTTTACAGTGTGAGCTTTCGCTACACGTGCTACCGATCCCCGAACCACCAGCCATCGCGGTAGAATTCGAGCGCGCGAGAAAAACAACAAGAAATAAATCACCGGTTTGAGGTATTTAGTACTAACGTCGCCATCTAGTTGAACACGTTGAAAACAAAATGAACAGAGAGATTTTATTTACACACATGCGCAAATAGAGCAATATTCAGTTACCTAGTAGTGGTCTTAAAATTAGGGGAACCCCTAGTGCGTGCGGCCTAGATTTTTGTCACGTTTGTCTTCTAACTATTTTATTTGCAAAAATGCCTCATAACGCGCTCAAAGCAGTCAAAATGGTCATATTTCTGGATTTTATTAAACATCTTCAGCGCTTTCAAGGAAAAGTCTAAGGGCCGTACGACCTTCATTACATCTTCATTATTAACCTCCAAAAGAATGAACACTCTCGCGCATTCCTGAAACTCAGGTTTGTGTAGCGAAATTCGCGCATTGAGTGACGAGCGGTTTAATCTTAAGCTGAAACGAAGTACAGAGAACAAGGCCTTGCTCGCGTCAGCGTCGCTACCAGAGCGTTTTTGCAGCGTCTCAGGACAAAGGCGACGCCAGTACGCCGCGACGCCAGATGCAATCCACGATTTGCAAAATAGTGCGCGCCGCCTATCGCGCAACGCCGGAAACTTCGACATTTTGGGTGCGAGGCTGGAAAGTCGTTGGAATACCACTAGGCTTCAAAATGCATGGCTTGGCTTGATATATGTGAGGCGTAAAGTTCGTGCGCACCGTCTGTTCCAAGAGTTGCCCCAAGACCTAGATTGAATAGTGTGGAAAATTCCCCCAGGAGCGTACAAAAAAGACGTACCCGTGACAAAATGTGTGCTGCAGATCCGTCAGTGCTCGTTCGGCAGCCATTGGTGAGCCGTGCATGTTCCTTCTCTTCACGACAGCTATCCAAGCCTATCTTAGCAGAATATACAGGGTGAAACAAGGAGACGGCAGGCTCTTTAAATCGACCGGAAAATTCGGTTTCTTAACCTATCGCGGTACGACTTTGTGCAGCGTTGCCCACAGATGGTGCATATTTTTTGTTAAATTTCCAAAGAGCGAACCTACCTGAGGAAAAAGTAAAGAAAAAAAAAGGCTTAGCTCCTATGGAAACGCAGCGACGCCACCGGTCTGCAAACAACACGGCGCCGTTTCGCACGGGAGACAAGAGATGGCGCAAGCGGTCGCGACGCCAACTGCCGCCAACGAACGAGCAGACGACGCCGAGAGCCGGCCCTTTTGCAGACAAGGAACTGCAGTTCCTTGTTGTTACCGCGCCTGTCTTTTTTGTTTCTGCGACTGTCGCCGCCTGCGGAACGCGCGCCGCTTTTGAGTCGAAAAGATCGTCTGCTAAAAAGGCCTGCTCTCGGCGCCGTATGCTCGTTCGTTGGCGGCGTTTGTTGCGCCATCTCTTGTCTCCCGTGCGAAACGGCGCCGTGTTGTTTGCAGACCGGTGGCGTCGCTGCATTTCCATAGGAGCTAAGCCTTTTTCTTTCTTTACTTTTTTCTCAGGTGAGTTCGCTCTTTGGAAATTTTACCAAAAAAATGCACCATCTGTGGGCAACGCTGCACAAAGTCGTAGCGCGATAGGTTAAGAAAGCCGAATTTTCCGGTCGCTTTAAAGAGCCTGCCGTCTCCTTGTTTCACCCTGTAGTCTGCTGCAGACGGAAATCTAAAAAAAAACAAAAAAACTTGGGGTTCTCTTTACCATAAAAGTAATTCGCGCAGCCATACGAAATACTGTGCGCCGGCATGGCGACAAACAAAAGCGACTCACGAGCTTTCTTCGTTTTCGTTCACGGTGTCTTCGCTTCCGCTACTTTGTCGCAGCCTAGGAATAGCCGGCACGCCTTTTTGTTTTATAACCAACGTTACTGAAACACTCAGTTGGGAAACTCCCATAGAGACAGCCCTAAAAATATGGCCCCAATCTGTCTCCGAGCACCGAGCTAATGACGAACACAACGCCACCATTTCTCCCGCAGCGGCCACTCGAGAAACTGCACGTGACATCTATTTTTGGCTTTGACAGGGGTGAACCCCCGTCTTCCCGGCGGACGCGCCGCGTTGAACTACTGAAGTTAAAATGCACCTAGGTCGGGACGCGCTACCTGAAAGGCCCGCTGAGGCATGGTTTTATAAAAACAATATTAATTGTTCCGCAAAACCTTGCGAACTAAAGATGATAAAAACATCACGCGCCCATCATTTGGTACTAAACTCCAATAAAAATCATACAAAAAGAGTCTTTTCCGTTTGTTTTTACGCAAAAAACAGGCTTTCAAAAAGCTCCAGGTGACCATAGTACAGACAAACGAAAAAGAGTGGCGCTGTTGTCGCATTTAGCTCGGTCTCGGTGGACGCCAGCGGCCCAGGTTTCGACGGCGAGTTTCCCAACTGAGTGTTTTAGTAACGTTGTTTATAACCAAACAGGGGGCGCTAGCAACACGCTCTGCTCGCGCATGCGCAGAAGCTTTTTTGCAAATTGTAGATTGTGTACGCCCAACGAGGTAGAGGGGCTTAGAGTGATAAACCGGAAGTTCGGAAGTGGCACCCCCCCGGTTGCCGCCATATTTTACGCAAATGTGACCACTCGTCACGTGACCTCCCAAGAGCCGTGACGTCACAGGTAAGATGGCAGCGCCCAGAGCTGGCGGATGCGAGTTTGTTCGGTGAGCGGTAGCCGTGATGTGCAGCTGCTTTCCGACGACTTCGGGCTTCTTCGTGCTCGCTGACGCAGGTATAATGTGAAAATATGAAGGAATGAGACTTTATACCGTTTTTGCGCAAGATCGCTCTGGATCATCTGGATATTAACGCCTGTGAGACA